GTGTCGAATCGTACGGTGTCGAATAATTTCGTGTCGAATAAATCTGTGTCGAATCGAGCGGTGTCGAATCGTACTGTGGTCAATAGAGTATCACCTCTCCTTGTCTCATGAGGACCAGCACAGTGGCCACAGAGGGGAGACGTAGTGCAATTTATAGATAAATGACCAAAGGCTAGACATCTATAGCACTGAAGAACTCTGACATAATCAGCTAAACGACATGCAGAGTAATTAATATACACCCTTGCAACCTGAGTTCCTTGCAACAATTTGGTCCGAATTTGAGGCGAGACCTCAATAACGCAGCTCACGTATGGCTTGTTCTTCTTAGGAAAGAGAGAGAGAGAGAGAGAGAGAGAGAGAGAGAGAGAGAGAGAGCGAGAAAGAAAGAGAGAGAGAGTAGAGGTGCGCTGCTCAGCCGATTTTTGAGAGGTTCGAACGCGTGTTGCTGTTCCTGTCCTCACTCAAATGCTGTCCAGTGATAAAAGTTCTGGCAGGCTAGCACCAAGAGCACCGAGGTGATGAGGCACGCACACAAGCAAAAACCGCCGTTCATGTGCGTTACGTCACGCTTGGCTATTCGGCTCGTGAAAGAGCGCAGACATACTATGTTCTGCCTCGCTTCCATCAAGCCCGCTACGCGAGCAAGACATTGAGGCTAGAAAGCAATGTTTCGTTGCGCGCTTGTAGCGTATGACAATATGACAACGCAAAATGCTTTTCCATGACTTACAATCTTGGAAAAAATAGATACTATTATTGATAAAGATGAGTTAAACATCTCAAGATGCATTTACAATATTATTACATTTTTATTAATTTTTATTAAAAGGTAACTACAATAATTTTAACGATGAAGAAATGAGAAGTCAACTCAGGCTCTTTTTTGAAAATTAAAGTATCCGTTAATTTCTTGGCTATGTAGAGTCTATGCAGGATGTTGTGCAATAAATAATACAACATTAATGTTTCAAAACGTTTCGACTTTATTCTGGACGATATTTAAATTACCATTCAATGAATCCTCTCAGTCATAAAATAGGCACTATTTACTCACTAGTAGATAGAGCCATTTTGCTTTCATATCCAAAATTTCATAATAAAAATTTAAATTCCATAATCAACATCTTGATTGATAACAATTATCCTAAACGGTTAATTTTTAATACAATTAATAGGAGATTAAAAACATTATTCACTAGTAAATTAAACAATCACAATATAAAAACAACACGATATAAAGATGAGACTGCTAAACTTTTTTTTGTACTACCGTACATTCATGACTATAATTTAAAGTTTAACCATATTAAAGTTAACAATGAATTCATTAAACCAGCATATCGCAATTTAAATCAGTTGTCCACATTTATAAAAACACACAAAGATTTTGTTCCAATTAACAATCAAAGAAATGTAGTTTCTCACATCTCATACCAACATTGTGAATCTCCATATGTTGAACAAACCAAGCGTCAACTCAAAACTAGAATAAAAGAACATATGCATTATATTAAAACCGGACAAATTGAGACATCGGTGATTGCTAAACATTGTATTGAGACTGGACATAATTTCGATTGAAACACAGTTAAGGTATTAGACAAGGAAAAAAACTATTATAAACGACAGACTTCGGAAATGCTATTCATAAAGAAACAGGAAAGGGGGTTGAATTTGATGAGAGAGTCTTTGCACGATACATACATCCCGGTACTTGATAAAATTAAACGTAGAGGGCTTGGTGTCGATCGTTGATTTTGACTTATTGCTCTCAGGACTAGTATCGATTTGTACTTTGTTCAAGCATGATGTATAGTTGATACTCGAATTTGTACAAATATTTTTTATAGTTTTTCATTGAGTTTGTTGACATACTTAATCGTTTTTCGTTTTAAATAAGGTATGACATTACATTTTGTGTTAAATATTTGGTAATTCTTTTGTGATTTTTACTGATTGTAGATTTTGTTAATAGAATCGATTGATAAGGACTTAAAAATAAAGTCGAAACGTTTTGAAACATTAATGTTGTATTATTTAATGCACAACATCCTGCATAGGCTCTACATAGCCAAGAAATTAACGGATACTTTAATTTTAAAGGGGTTTCAGATTATTGAAAAACATTTAATATATATATATATAAACTATATTATTAGTATTCCTAATTTTTCTATATTTGTCATTTGTAAATCACAAAAAGAATCTACATTTTACAGATGCACAATTCTAAAGTATTTAATAAAGTATTTTTATATAACATATCATATAAATATAATATATTAATTAATTGAATTTTGTATAATATGAAGTAAATATTTTGAGATTATATGTCTGAAAAATGTAGATTCTCTCTTGTCATAATTTACAAAACAAAAGTATATAAAAACAGAACACTAATAACTTTTAATATTCAAAAAACTTTTGAATTCTTTTTGTTAACTCATATGTAATAATTCCTAAAATAATATAATGCATCTTGAAATGTTTTACTATCATCTATAATGATACGAATTTTTTCCAAGACTGTAAATCTCGAAAAAAAATATTACTATATAAATATTGTACGTCTTTTAAAAAAAACTTGTGTGTGAAATACAAAGCTTTGTGAGATACATTTAACATAAGTTAAATAAAAACATTGATTTACTGTTATATAATATTTAATATAGGTTTTCAATCTCCTGTTTTACACAAATTGTCCAATATATATTCTCATATTAAATCGTTACATCGATCGAGCAGCAAAAATAAAAGTTTAGATGTGTTTAGACACATGGGCGCGTACCGTTTAATGTTTCTCGCTTGTTTCACACATCAAAATTTCCATGTTGGTGACATCGCAATTTGTGGAATCAATAGACAACGATGTAATTTTTCGAAATACATAAAATGTCATGCATTTTCCTATAAAAAATGAACCGAAAATATTACATAAACTTTGGTACAGAGATCTTTCATGTTACAATATTAAACATTTTCGCAACAATTATGTAATATATAAGTTTTATGTTCTGCACAATGATTATAGGTAATATTATAAAGAAGTGGTCCTCCGCACTACCCAAGAGGTGCCACTAATAGCGCGTTAGGTTTTATAACGTGGACCTTTGCCTGTAGCCCTATTCTACCACATTTTAGTTTGCATCTGTTAGGTTTTTAAATATAGATGTTGGCTAGACATCCATATTTAAAATATAGAATGCCATACTCTAATGTTTTTTATAGAGAAAGAGGTAAACTGACAATATTGTTATTTTTTTTATGAAAATCAGTTTATTAAGTATATATATACAGGGTGTCCCACAACTCACGACTTTAAATTAAATGACGTATTCTTGAGATCATTTTGAGATAAAACTTCTAATACCATATTGTCGAGGTTACAATATTTTTTGAATTATAAGCGTTTAAAAGTGACCTATCTGGTGGTCTGTTTTTTGCGCGTTCAGGTACGGCGCATTGTACATGACAATGTTCTTGTTTCGATATACGTAATGTTTTGATACTTATGCAAATTTTCTCAAAAAATGTTTTTTATTGGATTATAGTTACATAAACATAATATTAATACAATGCGTATGTAAATGTAAACAGTTTTATCAAATTCTTGTAGAATTTTAATCACGTGTTTGACGAGCTGTCAAAATTATAGTATGAAACTGGCGTATGCTGTATTGATTTTTTAGTTTGTAGTAAAATTGCTGCAATCAATAACTTTCAATATACTCAAAAAATTAATAACATTTCTATTTATTACATTTATTTAGTTTTATACAAATATTCTTTTAATTAATAACGAACAAGTCTTAAAAATAAATATTGCAGCAACTTTACTACAAACCAAAAAAATCAATACAGCATACGCCAGTTTCATACTATAACTTTGACAGCTCGTCAAACACGTGATTAAAATTCTACAAGAATTTGATAAAACTATTTACATTTACATACGCATTGTATTAATATTATGTTTATGTAACTATAATCCAATAAAAAACATTTTTTGAGAAAATTTGCATAAGTTTCAAAACATTACGTATATCGAAACAAGAACATTGTCATGTACAATGCGCCGTACCTGAGCGCGCAAAAAACAGACCACCAGATAGGTCACCTTTAGACGCGTATAATTCAAAAAATATTAAAAAAGCGTAGAAAAGCTCTAAATAATCATAAAGGANGTGTTTAGAAGGCCAATAAGA